GTGTCAAGAGTAGACAACTCCCTGACACATTGCTGCCTTAGCGCTCCTGCGTTCGCGAGGTTAGTGAAGAAGGAGCAACTAGAAGAACAGGTTTTTGTAGCCTATGTTAGGCCAGTTACTGAGCCTAAAGAAAAAAAGTCCATAGATCTCGCCATTGCCAAGTTGTTGGAAGAGTACACAAATCTAGCTAAGCCGCCTACAGGGGTAGTCCCGCGGCCCATCCAACATCGCATTGAGATTGAACCTGGCAGCAGGACTCCTAAAGGAGCAGTGTATAGGATGTCCCCGCGGGAATTGGTGGAGTTGCGCAAGCAGTTGGGTGAACTCCTGGAGAAGGGTTGGATTAGGCTCAATTCGTCTCCATTTGGAGCACCTGTTCTATTTGTCCCAAAGGAGGGAGAGCTTAGAATGTGCATTGACTTTAGGGGTCTCAATGCTATCACCGTGAAGAATGTGGAGCCGTTGCCCCGTATAGATGATCTTTTGGATCGGGTGCAGGGCTGCAAGTATTTTTCAAAGATAGACTTGAAGTCCGGATATCATCAAAGAGAGGTCCATCCTGATTATCAGTATAAGACCGCGTTCCGGACTAGATATGAACACTACGAGTTTATAATTATGCCCTTTGGACTAACCAACGCGCCAACAACTTTTCGGCGTTGTATGAATGACTTATTTAGGCCGTGGTTAGACAGGTTTGTAGTAGTCTACTTAGATGACATTCTAGTGTTCAGTAGGACCCTCCAAGAGCATGAGGGTCATCTAAGGCAGGTCTTGGAAAAGCTCGGAGAGGCTAACTTCAAGATCAACGCAAAGAAGTGTGAATGGGCAAAGACCCAAGTTCTGTATATAGGCCATGTTTTAGACGGAGACGACATCAAACCAAAAGATAGTAAGATCGCAGCCATTAGAGATTGGCCTACACCCCGCACGTTGACAGAGTTGCGGTCGTTCTTAGGCCTAGCTAACTATTACAGGAAGTTTGTGAGAAACTTCTCCACCATCGCTGCACCCTTTCGCAGGTTGTTGAAGAAAGAAACAATCTGGAGATGGGACAAGGACTGCATGTCTGCTATGAAGAAGTTAAAGCAGGCGTTGATAGAGTACCCAGTCCTTAAGGTAACCGATCCGTCCTTACCTTTCGTCGTCACCACTGGCGCGAGCCAGTATGGTATAGGTGCTGTGTTACAACAAGACGATGGCAACGGATATAGACCTGTAGAGTTCATGTCTGCTAGGATGCCTTCAGAGAAGGTAGGGACATCTACCTACGAGAGGGAACTCTACGCTCTCAGGTAAGCATTAGAGCACCGGAAGCACTACTTGCTTGGGAGGCACTTCAAAGTCTACTTAGACCACGAGACATTAAGGTGGCTGAAGACGCAGGCCAAGATGACACCTAAGCTTACTAGGTGGGCCGCAGAGTTAGACCAATATGACTTTGAGCTTAAGCCAGTCAAAGGGAAGTGTAATGTAGTTGCGGACGCTCTGAGTAGGAGAGTTGACTACTTTGGAGCGATAGTTCATTATCTGGATATAGGGAGAGACCTGCGACAGAAAGTTAGAGAGGCGTATGCGCAGGACCCTATCTATGGTGACCTCCTCAAGAGAGTAAAGGAGGCCCCACCGATCTCTATTGGATGGAGAGAAGTTCTAACTAATTGTTCTGATAGATTAGATATAGATAGGATAAGGCGACCGACATACGGCACGCCCTGACTGACGGGCGTGCCGCCTTAGGCTCTATAAGTCTATGATATGATATAAAACAAAAGTGAGAAGTAGCGAAGGGCCATGCTATATCCAAAATAATGCATTGGGTGGATGCCTACCGCACTACTGATGGGCTGCTATTCGATTGTGTGTTCCTAACAGTGAAGAGATCCGTAGTTTCATCTTAGGGGAATGCCTCGATACTTGGTTGGCAAAAGACTCTAGCTAACGTCATGCGCGTGTACATATGGCCTGGGATGAAGGCCGATTGCATAGAGTATGTTCGCACTTGTAAGGTCTGCCACAGAAATAAGACCTCTACGTGTGCCCCTCTAGGTCTTCTCAGACCCTTGCCAGTGTCCATTGACTTTATGGACACCCATGTCAAGAGTAGGCACGACAAGAGCCAAGTCATGGTAATAGTTAATAGATTCAATAAGTATGTTGTTTTTGTTCCTTTGCCTTCAGAGGCGCACACATAATTAGTTATTCAGAAGTTCTTTGATCATTGGGTCAGTGAACACAGGATTCCACTGTCTATAGTTAGTGATAGAGACACTCGGTTCACTACTCAGAACTGGCAGGAGTTGATGAGAGTGTCATCTGGCCGTCATCTAGAGACTAACAGTTAGACTAAACAAATGAACAAGATCCTGCAGCAAGTTCTGTGAATGTACATTAGACCAGATCAAATCAATTGGGACGAGATGTTGCCCAAGGTAGTGCCTATAACAACAGCGTGCACTTGTCCACTTGTCGCACTCCCAATGAGTTGCACAAGTCCGTTTGAGGGACTTAATTGGGACCAGATCCACAGGCTACCGCCCGGTAGTAGGGAGTTTGCATTACAGCATGAGAAAGAGTTGGCTACCGTGGTAGAGAACCTCAGGAAGGCCCAATACTGAATGATAGAGCAAACTAATAAGCATTGTCGCTTGTCACAGTTTCAAGTAGGCAACCTGGTCTGGGTCAAGTCCAAAGAGTTTTGCTCCTGAGGAAAACATCTCGCAGAAGTTACTGCCCACGTATAGAGGACCGTGGCCAGTTCTAGAAGTTAAGGGCGGAGAGGCTGGGCCGTTCTACAGTAGAGATCTCAACACACCTCCACACCTATCTTGTGTTTCATGCTTCTAAGTTGTTGTCGTGTGTCACAAGTCAAAAGTTTCCATCTAGGAGATCCATGATTCCTCGAGACATGGACGGAAGGTACGACAGTGACGACATTGTAGGTGAAGATGTCTTCAGAACAGGAGGTAGAGGTCGTCAGCAGAAACAGTATAAGGTCCGGTTTGCTTATCACGAACCAGAGGACGACCGCTGGTTTACTAGAACAAAATTTCTAGAAACAGCTCCCGATGTAGTTAGAGCCTACGAGAGAGAGAAAAAAAGGTAAAGGTCCTGCCTTGGACTGAGCTATTCTCGGAGCACTTCGAATTTAGGCTGGCGGGAGTGAAAAGGTTTTCACCTGTTAGCAGTAGCGAATGCAGATCCCAGGGCTCGTTCCCTAGCTCTCACCTTATCTGTGTACAGTATCTGTGTTGACCCTGAGAGTTGAACCCGTGACTTGTGTGTGTGTTCGCAACAGTTAGGAAGCTGTCGTAGAGTTTGTAGGTGTAAGGGTTCAATGTGTAGACCTGTCGGGTAGAGGTCTTACGGAGTTCTAGAAGTTGTACCTGTAGGGCTCCTGAAAGGTCAAGGTCGTAGCTGCTACAGTTTTGAGAGGTCAAGGTCCTAGCTGCTACAGTCTTCGAAAGGCCAGGACCCAGACTTCTGGAAGGTCCTAGTAGCGGCCTTTCGAAGCTGCTCACGTTTGGCACAAAGGCAAGTGGGCAAGTGGTGGAGTCTACCCGTGTTGAGTTAGCAGTCCCAGTCCCAATCAAGCAAGTACCGTACGGGACTGTGTGCACCACGAGCATGGGAAAGGGCCAGACCAACCGAAGTATAAATCAAGAGGCAGCGCCCAGCTATTCATGGATTCCTGCGTAAGCCATGCGGAAGCGCTGCCACAACGACTTGTGTGAGGTGGTCTGCAGTAGGCCCGGAGACGAAGTGGGCGAGAAGGAAGCTTAGCCATAGCGATAGGGCAGCAGTGGCCATAGCCGCCATAGCTGATAGGAGGAGAGAGAGTGGCGTGTGTGAGTGTTCGAGTGTGCAGTGTGTTGCGTGTGGGATATCCAGGGTGATCCTGTGTGCGAACAGCAGTGTTGAGCAAGTGACGAACAGAGAGTTGTACCGGCGCTGATGCGCCAAAGTGAAATTGTATCTGAATTGTGTTCTGGGTCTCCATATTTCTGAGTTTGAAGTGGGCGCTTGTCGCCAGTTTGCTGCGCGACCTGTTTGTATGCATGTGAAGGTGAACGGAAGTGAGTCTGATTGCACTTCCAACTCAAGTGCTCGCTGAATTCAAACATGCCACATACCATTTACCCTCAAGAAACACCCGCCTCCCCACCTCATTCCACCACCGAACAAGCGACTGCTCAGACCCGCCGAAACCACCAACCATTCAACCCCCCAACTCCCACTTCCGACTCGGGTGCTTGCTGAGGAGGTACCGGTTGCGTGGAGGCTGAGCGGCCTGGAAGTCACTGCCCAAGAGGCAAGTAGGCTGCTATATCTCCAGGAGGAGTAGCTCCTCATTTGTGGTATGCAAGTTTGGACGTGCTGCTTGAGCAAGAACCAGCCTTCAGAGCGCTGGGGCAGGGAGGAGCACTAGGCAGAGCAGCGCTAGGAGGAAGGAGGCTGGGAGCTTCCACCGCGGCTATGGTGGAGCTCTAGCGGAAGGAGAAGGAGACTAGGAGGGAGAGAGTCGAGGTGCCTACCTGGCTATGGTGGCCACCATCTTCATCACCTTGTGAGGTGCTGCATCAGGAAGGCCCCAGTGGGGTTGCACCACACCAAGAAGCTCTGAGGCAGAGTCAGGCATGGCAACCTGAGTAGCAGTGGGCATAGTTGCTTTGTGTCGTCCTTTGCACAACAGGGCAAGGCCTTGGTAGTCCGCCATAGCCTTGACCTTTGAGAAGGAAGAAAAAAGTGGCTATGGCTATGGTGGACCTCATGTGGAGCCTGCAGTAGAAGAGGGATTCGTACATTGATTTTGGTTCAGCCATTCAACATTATTATTACTATTTATTGTTTGAATAAGAGGGGAGGAGAAAAAGAGGAGGAGAGTGGTTGGCGAAGAAGAAAGGAATTATCAATTGTCTTTGCTGGTGTACATCTTCTTGTTCTTTTTTTTTTTTTTTTCTTCTTCTTTCCCTCTCTCTCCCCTCGAGTTCATTCAATTCTTTATGCAATTGGATTGAATGTGTACTTAGAAATTGGTCGAGATCGTAACATTGGTATCAAAGTGGATTCTACTTGCTGGTGAGAGTTGACTTTGCCGCCTTAACCCTAACCTAAGTGGTTAGGGCTAACCACTTAGGGTTAGGGAAGGAAGTTAGGGTTAAGTGGGGCAGCATGGTGAAAGGGAAGCTGCTCCCACGTGGCAGGGTCGTGTAGGGTCTAACAACAGACCTAGCCAGGTTGCTAGAGTGTGTGTGTGTGGTGGCCAGACACAAGGTGGGACGTCGTGATGCAATTAGAGAGAGGCCACAGTGAATGGCACCTACAATTGGAATCTGGACTTCAGGGAAGACAAGGAGTGACTTTAGGGCTCCCGTCAAGTAGGCGAGCTTGAGGGTGGCAGCCATAACCACACCAACGGACAACAAGTTGCTACTTCGATCTTCAACATCGGCGGGGGATCCGAAGTTGTACTCTGGGGTAGAAGTTGACCCTCCTAGATGATAGGACACTAGTGCAGAGGATGCAAATTGGGTCAGGAGGACTATGTGAGAAGAGGGGTGAGTTTCATTTCATGCCAAGAGCCCGACCACTCTGGTAAGTGTCGTGCTGCAAGGGTGCCCATATGTGTGTGCATGGAATTGACTGCTTGTTGGGGTATTCAGGGTTCTTCTCCCATCCTCCATGGTCTTGATCTTGTGTTGAAGAGTGTGAACTGCATTCTCACCTGATGAGTGAATGGATGGAGTATCTTATGCACAATGCCATATCTTTCTACAGTGCTTCATTTATTTCGTTCTGAACGGCTGTGGTCTGTAGGTCCTTTCTGAAATTGAAATTCGCTTTTTCAGTACGGTAGGGACAGAAAGTAGGTCCTTTGGAACTCTTGTTGGTTGGGACCCAGTTTTGACTCAACAAGGACCTTTTGGGACTCAGTGGGATTGCGCAGAAACAAGAAGAGACCCTCAGGCCCTTGCTGAGAATCGGAGTTCATCTTTTCGGACCAGGAGACTCACTGCTGAGGGGATCTCAACTGAGACGTTTTCACAAACTTTATCGCACGGTCCGTCACTGGACTCGCACCTTAGCTGAAATCACTACACTCGAGGAACTCTTCATCAAACGCTATCAGGATCCACACGCTACAGCAAGAGCAAGATATCGGCTTGACTATGTCAAACGCAGCAAGTGGGCTAAGAGTATGAAAGACATGAGATGACACATCTCAACAATCTCTTGGCCACACTTGGCTCGGAGATGACAACACAACCATGTCTAGATGTATAAGTCACGGTACTCTCGACCATTACTAATCATCTTGGGCGAGGACTCGACGAATACATGGACTGGCTTTCCCTCATGAAGGGCGTAGTTAGTCTAGAGGCACAAAACCTCTTTCACGCAGCAGGTAGCGTCAAGAAGACCTATGGTCGCAGGCGGCATGGAGGCAGCAGCCGTTTTGCATCACACGACCTGTTGGAGCCCGATGATCAGGTTGGTGCAGATGGTTCTACTCTTGGTGACGATCAAGAGCAAGATGCTGAACTGGCGGGTTCTTCGGCTTACGAGTCTGAAACTGCAGATGATGATGAATCAATGTATGCCTTTAAAAAGACTGCCTTCAAGAGTAAAGGGCCGAGGAACTCGGTGAAGAACAATACTAACACTATTCACCTCCCCAAAGGAGTAAAGATTTCACCCAAATCAGAGGATCCTCCCACGAAACCATGGATAGATCTTCGGATCAACGGAAGTGAGTGGAAACACAAGATGAAGAAAGGGTTTTGCTTGCATTGCATCAAACCGTGATATTTAGTCCAACAGTGTTTAAGATTTTCGCAGGGAAACCAGCAAAGCGGGTAGGGATGTTATCAGCACACTCTACAACAGGAGAGGCTGAACAAGTAAGTGCAGGTCCTTCTAAGGACTCTAATCCCACTCAACAACCCTCTCTTGAGACCCCATTTGATGCTGATTCCAAGGCCGAGAAACTACATGTCCTCTACAAGGAGCCTTGGGTGGAGATGGAAGAAATCGACTTTCATGCTTTCTGGTTGCACTGGGGTCAGATGAAGCAAGAGCGCGCTCAGGGGAAAACGAAGTTGATCTTTTCAAGCTCCGCATTAATGGCCGATACATCCGTGCGTTGGCTGATTGCGGCGCAACCTGTAACTACTACTCACCGCATGACATTCGTAAGGCACACTTGGGAATGAAGCAAGTGGTTTTGCAAAATCCTTGTCGGACCCAAGTGGGCAAGCAAGAGGTTGTCACATCTACGCATGCAGTCAATGGTGTGCACACTAGCTTTGATGTACTGCAAGAAGTGGTGCAGACACAAAGATGATGAGCAAATGTATATAGCCTTTGTTAGGCCTGCTCATGTGTGTTTTATTTTTGTTGTACAGAATGGTTCTACTTTGCATGTTGTTTCTGCTTCCAATGCAACTACTTCTACCTCTATTGAATCTACTTCTAGGCCAAACGGTTCTACTGCAAATCCTATTGTTTTGGCTGCACCTATGCAGTCCGATATGCTTGCACCAGATTCTGATTCTCCACCTCCGGAGATCCAGTCACAGATCCGCAGACTTCTCAACCGATTCCCTGAAGTTTTGGCTGAACCACATGGAGTTCCCGTGCGTCCGGTCCAACATTAGCTGGAGTTTATAGAAGGCAACACTCCTCCACTAGGCAGTGTCTATCGAATGGGCTCGGGTCAACTGGAGGAGTTGCGAAGACAGACCGATGACATGCTTGAAAAAGGATGGATCAAGCTGAGTGAATCCGAATTCGGTGCACCAATTTGGTTTGTCCCTTAGAAAGGAGGCAAATTACGGATGGGTATTGATTACCACAGACTGGACATACTAACAAGAAAGAATGCATACCCTTTGCCACACATTGATGATTTGCTTGATGCTGCAGGGGATGCAAGGTCTTTAGCAAGATCCTCAAGTCTGGTTATCACAAGATTGAAGTCGACCCTACAGACCGTCATAAAATTGCATTCAAAACTCGCGATGGGTTGTACGAATTTGTCGTCATTCCCTTCAATCTCACGAATGCACCTTCCACCTTCCAAAGTCTCATGGACAAAGTGTTCCGCAGTCAGATCAATCGATTTGTTGTTGTTTATTTGGATGACATACTAATCTTGAGCAAGTCGATGGGGGAGCACAACAGACGCCTTGAGGAAGTGTTGCAAATCCTCAAGGATGCGCAACTCCATGTCAACTTAGAGAAAAATATGAGTTCGGGAGGGACAGCGTCATCTACCTTGGACATCGGCTGTCTGCTGCATTCCTAGAGCCCGAGGCAACCAAAGTAGAGGCCATCCGCAAATGGCCTCAATCGGCAAATGTCCGAAAGTTGCATTCTTTTCTTGGTCTCGTCTCATACTACTGTAAGTTTGTGTCCAAATTTTCTATCATTGTGCGTTCATTGTCCAAATTGGCAAGCAAAAACATATCTCACACATGGGATGGGGAATGTATGACCACCTTCCATTCATTGAAGGAGGCCTTGGTGAGTGATCCGGTGCTCTGCATTGCAGATCCAACACTTACGTCCATAGTAACTACAGATGCAAGCTTGTACGGGACCACCGCAGTGTTGCAGCTAGATGATGGTGATTGCTTGCGTCCACTTGAGTACTACAGCAAACACATGCTTAGTCAAAAGGTAACTACTTCCACCTACATGAGAGCGCTCTATGCCTTGAGAGAGGCACTAAACCACTGGAAACACTACCTCTTGGGTTGCCATTTCAAAGTGTTCTCAGACCATGGGACTTTGAAATGGATGAAGACACATTGTCCAAATTGGCAAGCAAAAACATATCTAACACATGGGATGGGGAATGTACGACCGCCTTCCATTCATTGAAGGAGGTCTTGGTAAGTGATCCGGTGCTCTGCATTGCAGATCCAACACTTACGTCCATAGTAACTACAGATGCAAGCTTGTACGGGACCGGCGTAGTGTTGCAGCTAGATGATGGTGATGGCTTGCGTCCACTTGAGTACTACAGCAAACGCATGCTTAGTCAAAAGGTAGCTACTTCCACCTACATGAGAGCGCTCTATGCCTTGAGAGAGGCATTAGACCACTAGAAACACTACCTCTTGGGTTGCCATTTCAAAGTGTTCTCAGACCATGGGACTTCAAAATGGATGAAGACACAAAATAATCCATCTACTACATTGACCCGCTGGCTGCATGAGATTGATGTGTATGATTTTGAACTCGAGCATAAAAACGGTTGTTAGAATCGCGTTGCGAATGCTTTGTCTCGCCACCTTGAATACATGACCTGCCTTGTGAGCTCCTACGACCTCCGGAAGAAAGTGACGGAGGAACTGGTTGAGCAGACTGCCAAGGATACGAAACTCAGTCCCATCCTTGAGCAGATCAAAGTTGACCCTAGCAGTCAGCCTGATTTCCACGAGTGTAAAGGTTTGCTCTTTCGATGTTGTGGAAAGCACCTCTCTCTGAGAGAGAGAGAGAGAGAGAGAGAGAGCCCGCAACCTGCACAGGGCCCAACGTTGAGTTTCTTAAGAGATTGATGTTGCCTGTTGGCGAACTCGTTGTCTCTCTCTCTCTCTCTCTCTCTCTCTCTCTCTCTCTCTCTCTCTCTCTCTCTCTCTCTCTCTCTCTCTCTCTCTCTCTCTCTCTCTCAGTCTTCCCCTCCTTCCCACCGTGTCGCGCCCATTTTTTCCTGTTCATTTTCTTTTCATTTTCATGGATCTTTTTGCACATTCGAATTCTATTTGTATTTTTCTTTTTTTTCGCTCGTGCAAGGATTTACCCTTCGATCTACCAGCATACGGCCCTCGACAGCAAATGCTTGCCCTCCCTAAGTGAAGGTGGGCCCCTGAATCTCAATGAACCTTGAATTCGTCATTTTTTGTAAATCTTGTTGGGCGCCAGACAGTTGCCACGTGCCAGTTGGTTATATCCACTTTGCTCAGGAGAATCCAAAATATTTGTGATCCTTCCAAGCTCTTTCTTCAACGTGGTGAAAGCAGGGTACACCGCACGTTTGTGCCTGGGTGGTTGTGCTTGCCTAACCAATGCCGTCCCAGGCCACTGTCTGAATGGGCTAACCAATTCGGTCCTAGGCCATTGTCTGAACGGGCCTGGGCGCATACACTTTGGCCGAGATTGAAGCTATTGGAAACTCGGTCTCATGGGGCAAGAAAGTGTCAACGATCCTGCCACTTTCCATATAGGAAAAGGTCGGGCTTCATGTTTGGTGTTTGGGCTCGTGCTGTGCAAGCGGCAACACTGCTGGAGCGTGCGCTCACGGGCTGCTTGCTGGCGCTGGCGGTGGTGCAAAGGGTGTTGCTGAGGGCAGCGCCATACCCAGGCACTCCATAGTCGGGCTTGGCTTGGATGAAGGTCAGAGGGGTCGATGGTGGTCTTCGTGTATGAGGGAAGACGTGGTTGAAGAAGATGAGGGCGAGCTATGAGGGAGAGATGATGATCATGATGTGAGGGCACGTACCTGGTCTTGGTGATGGTTTACAATGTCGATGTCTGCTTGTACTTTGGTCGCTGCTGTTGACGTCGACGGGTTGCACCATCATTTTGTAGTTTACCATACTAGTTGTAGGGAGTAGTATGGGCGCTGAGCGCCAATAGGGTGAAGAGCTTCGACCGCATTTGTGGTGATGGCGAGAACATGCTTTCATTCACAATTTCCTTGGTGTCATTTCAGTGCATTTCTACTTTCTGGACAATGATGGACTATCTGGCTTTCAATGTGAATTTGCAGTCTGGAATTTTGTCATTTCACTATTGCTAATTTCCCTTACAATTTGGTATCGAAGCTGGTCCGAGCCGCTCTGCTGGCTCCTTCGCAATAGCTGTTTGGTGTTTCGCTGGATATGGTGGGGCAGTGATAACGCTTGTGCATTGTTTTTTTAGGTGGCCCAGTGTTGTGTGGGCGCGTTTGGAATTCTTATGTGGCGACATACGGGTGTATGCTGAATGATGAGAGCATGCTGATGTGGCAATTAAACCGAGTTGGAACTGCATTGTATTGTTGATTGTCTCGAGGCAGCAACCAGTCATCATAATTGCACTTTACTGGTGAGAAATTTGTGGTTGGGGGCGTCATTATGAGGTACATTGCTCCTTACCTTACCTACCCTCCTTGTTACTTCTTACCGTGAGGAAGCGAGTCTTGTCTTGAGAGTCCTCTCAAGGTGAGGTGGCGCGAGCGCTCAACCTTGAGAGTTGACGTTCTTCCTAGGGAGCATTTTGGTGGGAGATGCGTATTGCCTTTGAAGGGCCCTGGACGAAGCACTTGGGTCACGATCACCATGCCAACCAAGTGGGAGTAGAGCACGCATGCAATGCTGCTAGTCCTTTGGTTCTGCTTGCTGCGCTGTAGAGGTCTTGTCAGGCAAGCCAGCCCTATGGGGGAGAGAAGAGTATCGGGCCGTCTATAAAGAGACTCCAGCGAGGATACCCAGCTCGTGCTCTACCCGAGTATAAAAATAGTACTTACGGGGCTGGCCAGTCTTGCATTGACTTGGGGCACATGTGATAAGTTGGGATCCGTACTTAGCGGCTTCACATTCTTTTCAGAGTAAAATCCGAAGTAAGCCCTGAAGCATGGGATTTTAGTTGATCAAGAAAAGCAGGGTTCATTTTTCAATTTTTGGGGACTAAAAGCATGCATCTTTCGCGATTGCCCCTGTCCTCGTTCGAATTGGTTTCCCGTGCGGAGGGTTAGCGACCGCACGGAGAAATCCAAGAAACGCTTAGGCACATGTGATAAGTTGGGATCTGTACTTAGCGACTTCACGTACTTTTCAGAGTAAAATCCGAAGTAAGCCCCGTGAAATGGTTTTCACCTTTTTGCAGGCACAGATGCGGGCCCTAGAGTTCGATCCCCAGACCTTACCTTACCCATGTACAGTATCGAGTTGACCCCTAAGTGTTTGAACCCGTGGCTTGTGTTTTGGTAGTTGGTTGTTGTTTGTCGTAGGTCAGTGAAGTTGTAGGGGTTCGATCTGTAGGTATGTCGAGTAGGGTTCATAGCTGAGTAGAGGTCGTAGCTGTAGCATTTCCAAACGGTCAAGGTCGTAGCTGCTACAGTCCTAAAAGGTCAAGGCCGTAGCTGCTACAGTCCCGAAAGGCCAAGTCCACAAACTTCCGGAAGGTCCGGAAGTGGTCTTTCGAAGAGTTTCTCACGTTAGTCAGAGGCAAGTGGGCACGTGGGGAGTCCAACTTCGCTTGGTCAGCAGTACCCGGTCCAAGTCTCACTTTGCACAGTCAGCAAGCACCATGAGGGACTGTGTGCACCATGGGCCCGATGGAAAAGGGCAGACCAACGACTTACAAAAGTATAAATTAAGAGGCAGCGCCCAACCATTCATTCATTCGTTGCGTAAGCCATGCGGAAGCGCTGCCCCAACATCTTGTGCGAGGTGGTTTGCAGAGCGCCCGAAGTCGAAGTGGGCTGGAAGGAGATAGCGTAGCCATAGTAGTATTGGCGAGCGACCATGGCCGCCATAGGTTAGAGATAGCTGTTAGTGTGTGTGTGTGTGTGTGTGTGTGTGTGTGTGATACAAAGTATGTGTGCGTGGGGTATTCAGGGTGATCCAGAGTCGAGTGTGTGCGAACTGGGGTGTTGGACACAGTAACGAGAGTTGGGATGTACAGGCGCTGATGCGCCAAGCGAGTTTGCATTTGAACTATGTTTGTGGTTTCCATATCTCTGAGCTTTGAGTGGGCGGATGAATGGGAAAAGAAGAGGAGAGCGAGTCTGATTGCATTGGTATCGGAGCTGGTTCCCGTTACTCTCCGTGCCATCGTTGTCTGGGCGCTACAGCTGTAGCCACGCCATCGAGGGAGAAAGGTTCGCCATAGCTGCGTCGTCGAAGGGAGTTGCCGCGTACTTGCAAAGAAGACAGCAACGAAGAAAGAGAGAGAGAGAGAGAGGGAGAGAGGAGCGATAGAAGATTGTTGTGCGGTCCAAGGAAGAGGAAGGCGGCCATAGGCGCGGAGCTCGGACA